TGTGGAAGCAGGGTGCCATGTCTGTCCTGGTCACTGGTGTATCTCTCTCATTTAGTTAACAAGGTGATTGGAACAAGACAGGCATTCAAAGAATATGGTTTGAAAATATGACAGACAGAGGCACTAAACACACCTATAAAAGAGGATCCAATAAGTGATACAAAAATGTGAAATCTCAGGATAGGAAGAGGTTAATTCCAGCTGAAGAGAGGAAGGCAGGCCTCTGGAGGAAAGGATGTCTCTAAAATGGAACTTGAATAATAAATAGAGGTTTGACAGGTTGAGACCAAGGGAAGTTAGTCTCAATAGTATATACCAGGAGGGGAAACCTCAGAGGCCTTAAGGAACCACATAGCCAACAGACAGGAGGGAGGCAGGTGGGGTCGGAACCGTGGGAAACTTGGTGCACAGAAGCCCCACTCCAGGGGAGCAGCCACCTGTCTCTTTCTAGATCTTGCTGTGTGGGACTGATGCAGGAGGCCAGAATGACCAAGTTCTGCAAGATCTCTACTGTGACTGACTAGGAGTTTTTGCTGGCCTCATGTTTGTGACTTCTGCTTTATTGTGATACTGAATAAACTGACTTCTCATTTAGAAGACAATTCACTGCTTACTTGTAGGAGCAATAGATATTTTTTGGAATAATAGACAAATTACTTTAGCATTGGTAGGTTATATATTGATGTGCAAATCACATGTTAGAAGGAACCATCTATTTTGGACAATCTTATGAGATAAAAATTATTAGCTAATATTTTGCATTTTTACTTTTTAAGAAAGGATAACCCTTATCTTTTAAGCATTGCTTTGCTTTTTAAGAACCTTGTCTTAAAAATTGCTGGCCTTTTATAAAGGTTGTAATAAGCCATTTTACAACAGAAAGACAGGGAAATGAAGATGACATATTATAACAATGAGGATAAATAAATGTAAAATCTTTCAACCTTGTCTTTTGTGCACAAAGGCACCTTTGAGAGCGACTCAGTAAGTGCTATATTAACACAGGAGTTTAGTTAATTACAGCCACTATTCTCACGTACCTTAACTGAGTGTGAATTCCAAGCAATCTAATAGTGTGCCCCTGAGCATTAATACCTAATGAAATTGGATTCCTTGTTTTCTCTAATGAGCTCATTGCTTTTCTAAATATGGTCATTGCAGGTAAATGATCAATAGCTGGAAACTGACACCCCACTACTGGATTATTTTGGCAAGACAAAATATACTCATTAGTGTAAAATAAGAATTTTTTAATAATACACAGATACTCCCCAGACCATTTTTAAAATACCATTGCATATAGAAGGAATGACCCAAATAGGCTAGTTTGTTTAGACAGTAGAAAATTGTGAAGTCATTGATTACAGAGCAGTGGCTTCAAATCCATATAACTCGACTCAAGTTAAAATGAACTGAATCTAGTGTGTTCCTGTTGAGAATCTGAAGGGCAGTGGGCTAGGGGAAGGCCTGTGTAGGTAGAGCAGTTCTGTTCAAACTGTCTTGTCCATATTAATTTCCCAGGGCTGCTGTAACAAATGATTGTAAACTGGGTGGCTCTAACAAATGAGAAATTTATTCTCTCACAGTTCTGGAGGCCAGACGTTTAAAATCAAGATATTGCACTGCCTCTGAAGCTATTAAGGGAAATTCTGTTCCAGTCCTCTTTGGGAGGCCATAGGCATTTCCTGACTTGTGGTGGCATCGCTCCAACCTCTGCCTCTGTGGTCACTTTGTCCCCTTTTCTGGCTGGGTCTCTCCTCTGTGTATCTCATAAGGATGCTTGTCAGTAGTTTAGGGTCTGACCAGATAATCCAACATGATCTCATCTCAAGATCCTTACTTAATTGTTGTCTATGAAGACTCTTTTGCCAAATAAGGTCACAATCACAGGTTTGGGGGTTAAAGATGTGGACATATATTTTTGAGGGTCACCATCTATCTTCATTTCCACTGTGGTTAGTTGGTAAAGCTGAACACAGGCACTGCTCAGCTCAGGATGAAGTTTAAGCTTTTTCCTACTATATGTATTTATTGAACGAATAATTTATATTGTGTGTTTATAATTTTTAATCCTTAAGACTACTCTATCATCTCCTTTATATAGATAAAGGAGATTGAGTTTCAAAAGAGGTAAAATTTTGCCAAAGGTTACAAAAGAAAGAATTAAGTGTCCATTTACATTTAATAGTTAATGCATATTAAATTTAATTTATATTTGATGCATATATAATTTAGATGTTTAATTTAGATGCTCACAAACTTATTTAGAAACTGTTATAATTTTCACAAGACAAATTTTCTTCATTAGATTTTTGTCTCCATGTTTCCCTGGGTCAGATATAATCTTCCATGAAGTCCAAGAAATTGCTTCCAGATATAATCTTAAGAAGAGCAAGGCAAAATGAGCTTTTGCAGAATAATTGTATTGCCGTGAGATTCAAGTGTGGGCTTACTTCATGCGAATCTATCTTCTAGTACCAGAATCTGGAGTACTTTAGCCTGAAATAGAGTTGAAAATTCTTTAAAAAGTGATTTAAAATATTTTTTTTACCTTAATGTCTTATTATTTTTAGCACATAATGCAACCTTTTGAAGGGGGCCAACACAATGTTTTGATACACAGAATGTACAGTGATCACATCAGGGTAATTAGCCCATCCATCATCTTAAACATTTATCATTTTTGTGGGTGTGCTGAGAACATTCAATATTTTCCTTTTAGTTATTTGAAATTAATTATATAACACACCATTGCTAATTATATCACCCTACGGTGTTATAGAACATTAGGACTTACTCCTACTCTCTAGTTGAAATGATGGCCTTTAACAAATCTCTCCATATCCTAGTCTCCTGTTTCTTCTGTCCTACATTTTACTTCTTTGAGATCAATTTTTTTAGCTTCCATGTATGAGTGAGAACATGCAGTACTAGCTATTTAACTTTCTCTTTCTGGCTTAATTTAACATAACGCTCTTCAGTTCCACTCAGGTTCCCACGAATAACAGGACTTAATTTCTTAGGGCTACCAAGTATCCTGTGTGTGTGTGTATGTGTGTGTGTGTGTGTGTATCATATTTTCTTTATCAATTCATCTGTTGTTTTCCACCTACAATGACATTGATTTCACATCTTGGCAGTTGTGGATAGTGCTGCAATAAGCATAGGGGCACAGCTATCTCTTTAGTGTACCAATTTCTTTCTCTTTGAATAAATGCGCAGTAGAGGGGTTACTGACTGATATAAAAATAAGCTTTAGATATGTGGTAATACTTAAGAGTACACCCACGTATGCTGTGTTTGAGGCCTATTGCCTCCATTTATTAACTATGTTTTCTTGAGATTATCACTTAACTTTCCTATGCCTTCCTCCATTGTAAAATGGATAATAATATCTCATAAGTCCATTAAGGAATAAATTTAAAAATGCTAAAATAATAGCTGTTTCATAGTATAGATGTGGTATAGAATTATTAATTATCAACTGTCAATATTTTATATATAAAATAGTAGAAATATCACATTCAAAATTGTGGTGGATTACAAACAGTAGAGTTTTATTTGGCACAAACCACAGCGTCAAAGCAGAACATGGGACCAGGAATTTCCCATATAGTCCTTGATATGATTTTCTTTTTTTTTTTTTTGAGGCAGAGCCTCAAGCTGTCACCCTGAGTAGAGTGCTGTGACACCACAGCTCACAGCAACCTCCAACTCCTGGGCTCAAGCGAGTCTCCTGCCTTCACCTTCCAAGTAGCTGGGATTACAAGTGCCTGCCACAATGCCTGGCTATTTTTTGGTTGCAGCCTTCGTTGTTGTTTTGGCAGGTCCAGGCTGGATTTGAACCCACCAGCTCAGGTGTATGTGGTTGGCGCCTTAGCCGTTTGAGCCACAGACACTGAGCCCCTTGATATGATTTTCTTTTGCAAAGCAAAGTGTTTTTAGGGTTTTCCTTTCTTCTCCACATCACTTTCACCCCCCTTCCTGGGCATTCCTTCTCCCACCCTGCTCTGTTATTTATTCTTTCTTGGGGGAAAAAGTTAAGTTTTCATTTTCCAAGATAATTCCTAGTTAAACTTTATTAAAACTATTCCCAGATTTCCACGGTGATGTGAATCCATAATGGAGTCAGAGGAAACAGTTGTATCAGCTCTGTTCCATATGCATGAGCTCTGGCAAGAATACTTGAAACTATTTTCTGCTGGCACGTTCACAATTCTAAGAAATCTACTGTGACTTACAGTTTATGGATAAAGTACGGGAAGGCTCAGGGCACTGGTACCTTTTAACTCTAAGTGGACATTTAGAGTCATCTGCACATCATTTCCAAGTAAAAGTGGTTTACATCTGTCAACTTGTATAAAATTAATGTTCAATTTGCTCACATCCGCATCCTAGCTTAAGCTTTTGTAATATGTTAGTAGAGCAAGGAAGAGACTTGGGGCCTTCATATATTTTTTCTGTCTTTTCATTTACTGGTTTTCTTTGCTAATTATTTTAAATTTATGAACCTCTTATAAAATAACACCTTTCTGAATGGAATTCACTATTCATGATGAAAAAAATTAATGTAAGTCCCTAATAGTCTCAAGATGTCAGCGACCATTATGTTACATTGATTTGGTTTTTTTTATTTGGTAAGTAAATGCCAACACGGAGAAGTGAAATGATTTGTCTCCATGTTGAAGAACGACTCCATGGTGGAAGCAGCCATAGGTACTTGAATACATTTAGTTCTGATTTTATCTCTCTTAACCATGACTTGTCTGCCCAGCTCCCACTGGAAAACAGATTCATTTCCTGGTCCAGAAAACCTTTAATCGTCAGGGCTTAAGAGAAAATATTCTGCAATTCATGGTTCGTTGTAAATGAAATTCTCATCATGCTCGTAACCACTGTTCTTTGCTATCAAACACCGCAGCCGAGTTCTCCCTTGGATTCGGGGGGAACTGAAGTGTGTCTGCGTGAGTTGTTTACACAGTGTCTTGTCCAACGTCTAGGTGAGCACAAAGTGCCGTGGCCTCTGGTGGGAGTGTGTCACCAACGCTTTCGACGGGATCCGCACCTGTGATGAGTACGACTCTATCTATGCGGAGCATTCCTGTACGTACGCCTTCCACCTCTCCACTTGCCAATGAGAATGCCCCAGAAAACTGAGCTCAGGCTTCCCCTGTGGGGTTTTGCGGCCTGATGTCCTGTATTAAGGTCCTGCCCTATTTGAAATACTTCATTTAGAAATCGTGTTCATTTTGAAATGTACGTTGTAACGTTTTAAAATTATTTACATTTTAAAACCATTTAAAAACTATTTTATCTTTTTTCTGTCTATGTGTATTCCTTGGCAGTAAAAATATTATCTTATTTATCTCTGCTATTCCTCAAAGGGCTGGGCCTAGTGTCTTGTAGGGTAGACTTAGGGTAAATGTTTTCTGAATGGAAATGATTTTCTTAGAGTGCTCTGATTAGTATGATTAGAATTGATAGGTCAGATGAAAAGCACTTCAGAGGTGTCTTTAGCTATGACTTAGTTCAAATAGAAAGTTTACAATTATTTCCATTGGAAGTTTGCTAAGAGGGTGGCACCTGTGGCTCAGTGGGTAGGACACCAGCCCCATACACCCAGGGTGGCAGGTTCAAACTCGGCCCCAGCCAAACTGCAACAAAACAATAGCTGGGTGTTGTACCGGGTGTCTGTAGTCCCAGCTGCTCAGGAGGCTGAGGCAAAAGAATCGCCTAAGCCCAGGAGCTAGAGGTTGCTGTGAGCTGTGATGCCACAGCACTCTACTGAGAGTGATAAAGTGAGACTCTGTCTCTCCAAAAAAAAAAAAGTTTGCTAAGAAAGAAAGAGGTGGATCCAGAGGGGAAGAGACAGATAAGCAAAGAGACACCTAGACTACAGAGATCAGGGGACAAAAAAATTAACATATGTGACACGTTGTTACAGGCAATATTGAAGCCAGTTCCTTGGCCTGCCCCACTTTTCGCTTAAATTATAGTAATGTGCTGTTAGCAGTGCCCATGCCGCTACAAGTGAAGAGATCTCTTAAATTAAGAAATGTCATTGTTGATTCTCTCCCTTCTTCTCCATAGCATTTACTTACTTGCTCATTTTAGATCAAACTGTGCCAACACACACCAGTCCTGTTATTAAAGCGAAGTGTTTTGCTTTTAGTCACTTTCAAAGCAAATGACGCTGTACTGTTTAAGATAAATTAAAAAGTAAACCCTTGGAATGTGACTTTTCCCCTCAATAGCTATTTCAGTCCAGAGAAAAGCACTGAAAAAGAGCAGTGCTCTAAAATATTTTCATCTGCTCTTTAGGAATTGGGTGCCTGAAATATGTTTAAATTTTATTTTTGTTTTAAAAAGGACTCCTAATTCTTTCCTTTCCCCTCCCTGTGCTAACCTAGTTCTGCCTGCAATGAACACAATTTGGTGAACTGCAGTGGAAATTCAGCCTATTCCAGAATTCAGTGATATGGTCAGTGCTGAGAAGAAAAATTAAAGATCAAATGTTTCAAATTTTAAATTCTGTTCTATACATATTTTTAAGAAGAAAATAAAATCACCAATAAGTTCACTACACAGAGAAAACCACTATTTATATTTTAATACATTGCTTTTTATCTTTGGCTATATTATTTTCTTTTGTTTTTACTTACTAATTTTAAATAATATACTAACTTTTCCCTTAACATTTTCTGTTGTATGTTTAAAGACATCAGAGATGAAAATCTATTGGAGGAAATAACCTATTTTACTTTCTCTGTTGGGATGTTACCTGTAGAATGTAGAATTTTATTTTTATTTTTTGCTATTTGTTTGTACAACCTCGATTAGGTAATTCCTTCTATCCCCATATCCCTAAACTGTGTGGGCCCAGACAAATATTTGTTTGGCATGGTTCCTGTTGATATAGATAATTTGCGTCCCCACCAATCATCATATCACTGCCATCCTAGCCGTCATATCTCACATGATCCCCCATCCAAGAAATTCTTACTGGCCAGCATGGGCCATCTGCTTGCAAAACTGTCTTTCTGGAATCTGGATGACCATGGTGCCCTCAGTCCACCCCATACATATGAGTCCTGGAGGTCCTCAGAGACCCTATACATGGGATGGGAGGCAGAGAGTCCTGAAGTGAATGCTTGAGTCCAGATCAATCCAAACTGATGGTGCTGCTGTGCCTGGGTGGACCCAGGTTCCAAAAGAAGACTTGGAAAATTTCAAGGGAGGTGCTCCAAAGTCCAGGGACCCCTTAGCCTGAGGCACTGAGTAGGAGGCCCATTTGTGTATACCATTTGGTGACCAAGAGGATGTGTTGAAATAGGGCTACTACCTAATGCATTGCAGTTTTCTACTCTTTCCTCTATTTTGAGAAAAGTGATTCTTAGGTTTGGTTCATTTAAATTTTAAAAATAATGCCAAATTGTGAGGTTCTATAAATTCTGTTCTGGAAACAAATATATACTCACATATATTAATAAGATAATTACATGCAGATATTCACCTATTGATGTGGCAAGAACTGATTTCAGACATTGATTTCCACACTTTAAGACGCATCATACTTCGTTTTTTTCTTTTAAGTCAGGGAAATTGGATGTATTTTTGCAAGCAACATACTACCCAACAAGCCCCAAGTATACTTACCATCAGAAAAAATTATTTAAAATGCAAGGAAACTCCAAATCACTATATAAATAAAATGTATTTCAAGTACTATTAAAGGAAAACAATTTTATTATGCTTATTCATTAACTAGCTAGAATAGTAAAAGTTCTGACTTCAAGTAATTAATCCTCCATTTGCAACCTCATTTACCTAATTTCAATTTGCCATCACTGTAACTCAGAGTTTTGGAAGCTTTTATAGTTGAAGATGCTTCTACTTTGAAGTTGACTGCTACTATTCCACTTTTCATTTACCTGACTTTTTCTTTCCATATATTTTTATGGGGTATAGCATTAAAATATGCTCATTTGACAATATGAGGTTGAAGGCTTGATATGGAATGTTGGCCAAGAAAAGCCACAACCTGAAAAGCTAAAAGAAAGGATGGTGTGGCTTCCAAAATACTCTTCTACTTAATAGCAGAAATGAATTCTCCATTTTCTAAAGATTTGCCAATGGCTCCCACTAGCCTGAATTGGCAAGAAAAATCTCGAAACACATTATCCTGTTTTCCTGTGTCAAATTTTAACCAATTATTTTTCATTTTTTCAGTTAAACTTCAAATAATTCTAGTGATAATGGATTCATATCTTTACTCAAACTTGAGTGGCTAATTTTTTAGAATAAATAGGTATTCTACGTTCAGTTCAGCATTCAGCTGTAATACTTGGGAACAAGACTCTTTCCAGAGCAGAAGGCATGAGGGAAAACACTTGTTTAGTCCCAATTATCTTCCAGGATGTGATGTGCTAGGATGCCAACCAAGTAATCACTACTATTCAAGGAAGTGATGTCAATTATCTAATAATATTTTAGGTTTCATTAAAAAAAAATTAAGTGTATTCATGCTCAAGTTCATGAAAATGTGACATCTGACTTCTGTCAGTGGACCTATATTAATGTTATGTAGTTGTCTGGTTTTTGATGTACCTCTGTGTGCTAATGTTTCTTTCCTTCATCTCTGCTGTAACTACATGCCCTGGCCTTCCAGTGAAGCTGGTGATAACTCGCGCGTTGATGATTACTGCGGATATTCTAGCCACGTTTGGATTTGTCACCCTGCTTCTTGGTCTCAACTGTGTGAAATTCCTCCCTGATGAGCCGTACATTAAAATCCGCATCTGCTTTGTTGCTGGAACCACATTACTAATAGCAGGTACTGGTCTGGACTAGTGCTACAGGTAAAGATAGTCTGCTAAGGACTTGACGTGAAAAAGAAGGGCATCGTTTCAAAGTAGTTCTTTTTAGGATCGTCTGTGACTTGCTTTTCTAGAATAAATTAATAAAGAGCCCAGCTGCCAATCCTACTGCCTTTAGCTTTGAAATTGGATAATTAGGCTTTTGTCAATATCCTATATATCAAAATATGCCAAAATTCACGATTATTTTTTCAGCCACTTGAAAAGTTATATCATGTTTCAAATTCTTAAAGTAATTTCTTTTGTGATTATTCTTGAAGTTATATTCTAAAGTAAGTCCCAAACCACCACCTCCTTAGCTGTACCCACCCCCACCAATTCTTTTTCACGAAGAATTAAATTGTGCCAAATCCTGTATTAAACTTTTCCCGTGCACCAATCCATTTGGTCATCAAGTAACAATAAACAGATCGTATTATTATCCCCACTTAAGAAGCAGATAAAGAAATGGAATTCTGAAGACTAATAAATTCAGCATGACTAATAAACAATAAGTCAGAGGTACTTTCTTTGCGTTTACTCGTGAAATCGCAAAATTGAAACATTACTCAGGTCTGTCTTCAACTTCAAAGCTTATTCCTCCTGCATTACAACATTTTGTCTTCTTTGAATCTGATTGCAAGTAAGGAGGAGGCATACTGTCAAAGAAATCAAAGTGCAAGAAGATTATAAATCAAGATGCACACCCCAGAGAGAAAACCATTGCATTATCCTGTAGCTGCAAAAATTTAACTAAACAAATGAAAGCAAGAACCTGATCAGTCAGTGGAGGAAAGTGAATGGATAGGGGTTTGGGAACTAAAAATACTTGGAAATATATTTGTGTGATATCTTTACCTACATCTCTGTTTCCTGATCTGCAAAACAGGTAAAGCTGGGGCAATAGTATCCACTCTGAATTGGTGCTGTAAAGATTTGGTGTGGGCAGAGCAAGCTCTTAGCAGGGGTCCTGAGCCTTTACGCCCCAAACTGGGGCTTCTCTGATTATTTCACACAGAAATGTTGAGTCCAGGTCCTAATAATCCTCAGGTTGCATCTAAAAAAATTGCAAAAGTTTAGCAACTTATCCTTTTTAGGACATTAATATCTATATCCAGCCTACTCATAGCATAAAGCTTTTGTCCATAACAATATATTTTATTTAACAAATTTAAACACTATTTAAAGAAAGACAATTTTATTCCAAAAATTGATTTTTGAGGCCTTACTATATACTCATTTTTTAATAAACCAATAAAGCAAATATAGTTTAAAGAAAATACAAGTCATAGAAGAACATTTTTGTAGGAATGACTGAAGAAATGACTTCATGACCAGTGATGGTGAAACCATCATTCTGAATTGGTATTATATATGAACATATTTTTAGAAGGCCAGACTCTGTTTTGAACTTTCACAGAGGAATTTCTAACTTAAACTAGTGTTTAAGGATTATAGAAAAGGTGTGACAATTAATACTTTGTTTTCTAAAGGTCAGCCCTTCTTAAATCTCTTGCATTAACCAATTAGAAGAATACAATAAAATCGTGATTCAGACAGATACTGCAGACTCTCTAGGGAAATAATTCCATTTTTTTGAGGATTAAAAATTTCAGAAACCATCCTGTACTACAGCTTTATGTCCCCAGCTCCCTACCTTTCTTTTCTGCATGTACAGCATCCCATGAGATTGATACCTTTAAAGTAAGAGAACCCTGGTGACAGCATTTCAAATGAGTCAGTTATCAGAGAGTCTAACCCATGATGATTAAATTTTATTTAAAGGGAACGTTTCTTGGTTCACTCTTACATGGCGTGAGAGTGGTAAATAAAGTCTTATTTGAAAATAAAGACTTTTTAAATTATAGTCTTTGATCTCAACACACTAAAATGTATGACTTTAAAAGCATAGCTCCCATGCAGATGCTGGTCATGTAGCTGGCATAGCTTCGATCACGGAGCTAAGGAACAACAGAATACTCTTCATGATGTATATTTGCAATTAAAAAATCAGCATAGAACAAATATAAGCTCTGTAAAATTTGTATCACACCATATGATCTTTAGTTTTTTTTTTTAAATTTTCTTGTATACAATCTTGAAGTATCAATGGAAAGACACAAAAATTAAAGAAAATCATGGTAGTTAGTTCAGGTTTATACTAACAGATGAACATTGCATTGTTTTGTTTCTGTATTTCCCTTGAGGTATAAACTGAAATAAAATCTAAAAGATAGAAGATCGAAGCAGAAGGAGGAAACAGAAGCGGTATTCAAAATTTGAGTTGCTCATGAATCCACAGTAGTGCTGTTACCTCTCGAAATGACGTCATTGATTGGATAGAAATCAGCTTTCATTGGATTTAAGTTTAGAAAATGCCCGTGTTATTCATAGCATCCTGTCTGTCTTTCAGGTGCCCCAGGAATCATCGGTTCTGTGTGGTATGCAGTCGACGTTTACGTGGAACGTTCTTCTTTGGTTTTTCACAACATATTTATTGGCATCCAGTATAAATTTGGTTGGTCCTGTTGGCTCGGAATGGCAGGTTCTCTGGGCTGCTTTCTGGCTGGAGCTGTCCTCACCTGCTGCTTCTATCTCTTTAAAGGTAAGAGTAAAATAAAATAGCGCATTCCCTTGCTTCCTTTCCCAGCTCAAAGAAAACACAACTCACAAGGACAAAGTGAAATTGTTTATTTAAATTCCTGTCTAACACCATTCAAAATTCCAGTTATTAAAGAATCACAAGACTCAAACCTTACTTCCCAGTTAGTGGTTTATTCATTGGAATAAAATGTCCATGGCTACAACCAAGTCCAATATTCAATATGTAACAGTTACTGTGACTTGTCATAATCTTGTTTCTATATACATACATATGTAATATATGACATATATAGTAACTTCATTCAATGAAATTTATGTTTAATGTTAAGTGGAGTAGACTAAGAGCCAGATGAATACCTATTGTCAAATAATTTAAAGTGTTACATTGTTTCCTTAAAATATCACTAAAGAAACTCATTAGAAAGAAAATGACTCATCTGAATTTTCAATCTATTCATAAAAACTACTTTCAGGATGAAAATACTAGCTTATTTTAGGGTTCCTGGAGAATTCTTGTTTTGTTATCTTTATTCTTGCCCCTTTGGGGAAAGAATATGTAACGAAGCATTATTTCTTCCTTTTCTAAAATGTACTGAGTCGTATCTATTTTTGTATCTCTGCATTTGTGTCTTTCACTTAGATGTTGGATCTGAGAGAAATTATTCTTATTCTATGAGGAAAGCCTATTCAACGACAGGTGTTTCCATGGCCAAGTCCTATGTGGCCCCTCGGACAGAGACTGCCAAAATGTATGCTGTAGACACAAGAGTGTAAGATGCCACTTATCAATCTGTTTATATATTATTTAATCAATAACTATAGTCATCTTAATAAAGTAGTGTGTCATCTCAGGAACATTTAGACTTGATGTGCAACAAGTTGTCACTTATCCTTTCTTGAGGAGGATGATTCTTTTAAATTCAAACTAGTGTATCAAACTCTACCATTGCTCTGATTCTGTAAAAGGAGAAAAAAGAAAATAATAGCTTCATCTACTAGCCACCGGTGGGCATTAAAGTTAAAAAATGCTTCCTCCGCATTCTAAATGTCAAAGGTAATTGATATATTAATATTGGAGTCAGTGATGACTTTCTATCTCATTACAAAACAAGAAATCTGTGTTATTATTTCACCACTATTGTATTTTTGCCAATACTATATCATCAAATTATTAGACTAGAGCAGTAATAGATCAGCCACAGAGTTTATTCATTTATTAATTGAATATCTAAATATGTTTTATGAATGTATCATATTAGAATTCACCAACTAAAGTGCCCACTCACCACTGGCGTCTCGGTACCCCAGCAAAAAATGTGACAATTGACAAAATTTTACAAATATATGTGGTTAAAATACATAAAATTTAGAACGCTCTACTGAAAAAAGTAAATTTTCCTCATAAACTATGTTATTTTTTAAAAATAGAATTGTATATATACTTAAAGAAGTCAGTAATGATTGCTAATAGAATTTCATCCATATTTATAATGTAATCATCTTGAAATTTTTAATTGTAGACTTTTGAAACCATTATAAAAATTGAATCTCAAGTTTTCTGAGTTCTTGTGATTCACATGAATATCATTAATACTTTTACGGTAACCTTGCAGTACCTTAAAAGAGTATCAGCTGAACTAGAAATTAGTTCTTTGGAAAAATGAAAATTAAATTGTGAATTTATGAAGACACCAAAATAAGTGTTTCAAATTTAAAGAGCTAAGGATATTGTGAAAATGAGATGATGAAATCCTAGTACATGTATTTCATGACGTCCCATGTATCTCTTTAACAGTATTCTCTGGAGCAATTCCAGTCTAATCTTAGAATTAAGAGGGACTGATTCACCTTCATCTCCTGGATATTATTAACTATATAATTGACATTAAAATTATTTTCAGATTGGATATGCTAGTTCTATGTGTATTATCTCATACACACTATTTTGCATTACTTTTTGTTATCTTTTCATTTTTATTACCATTTTTATTCTGTTTTCTATCATGTTTTATATATTCAAATAAGTCTCTTAAAATTCCCCTGGAAAAAGACAGAGGAAAATAGATTAGGTTTTAAAATTGTTAAATTTATCCTTTTAAAGATTTCATTTGTATTAGAAAATATTTCAAAGACTCATGGTGATGATTAATATGTACTATGTATAACTGCTTTAAATACTGTCTCAATTAAAATGTTTGTATATCCTAAAGGGGATAACAATATTTGAGTTTTTTAATTTATTCGAAATATTTATTTCTAATCCATTATAATTTAATGAAGCATACCAAAATAAAGCATAAAAAGAATTTAATTTGTGTAGCACCTAATGAATAACAAAACAACTATTGAATAGTGAGGAATTAATAATTGACATGGTGGTTGATTAATATGTCTAGGAAGAAAAAGTAATATAAGCCAACAATATTCACACATAATGACATTATTATGTTGAAATGATAAAACAGCTCACTAAATTCTGGGTAGTATAATTTCGTCATGCTTGTTATTAGTAGTAATAAAAAGAAAAAATTGGAAATGCTATTTAGCTACCCCTTCATCAACTATTTACTTTATAGTATCATATTTTATAATTGAAATTAGTTTTTCATCATTATAAAATTTGTGTATTTGCACTATAGAAAGAAAACACAAAGACTATCCCAAGGAACCATACTCTATCTAGAACATCACTGTTCCTAAAACTTTATTGATACCTACCCACCTACCCATCCCTCCGTGTAGTCTCCACTTAGAGACACACACACACAGACTTTCATGCATACACATCTCTTTTTTTAAGATATCATTCCATATATGTTGCTCCGTACTTAATTTCTTTTTTAAGTTAACAGTCTGTCTTTTGGTAGCAATACTTTCTCAAATCTCATCTTAACTAATACTCAGTTCATATTAAATTTCCTCGAGGATTTCAAAAGACAGGGTACACCTGGTTTGTCCAAACCACCCTCTTCATGTCATTTGGCAGATGTGTCCCTTCAGTCTCTGTCGACTGAGCTACATTGTGTTCCACTGACCCTGATTCGTTTAAAAAATAAAAATAAAAAACCAAACCTGTTTTCCTATATTTTGTTCTACCTTGTAGATTTTTCTAACAATATCATTTTGTTTACATTCTCACTGCCTTTTATTTTCCATTAAACTGGAATTTCCATCGAAATGCTAGATACGTGTAGAATCAGGTTTAATAGTTTTTATTAATAGAATACACCGTAGAAGATGTGACAGCATACTTGGAGACTAATATCTGGTTGATTTACTCTTAGTTTAAATGCTAAAATTTTCCGATTAAGATATAACAGTCTTCCATTTTCAGTTATATATATTTTTTCCTTTAATGACAAAATAAGTGACCACTGTGGTTTTATTTTGGAACTATGAGAATACCCCAACTCTAGTCAACCATACACAAGATGATTTGAACAACTGTAATCTTTATCTGAGTTGATGTGTTGGTTAAGATTGGCACAGAGAGGATTTTCTAACTCTGTTGCATCTACGTGTTTAGTAGAAATTCTTCCATAAAATAAGTCTATATATCTCCATCTGAGTCTGTTCAAGTTATCCTGAAAGGTAGGATCAATACTTCACCAATTAGCTAATCCAAACTCAGAAGCTGGTTTGTTAGTGGGATGATATATAATTTAGTATCATAACTGGTACATTTCTGAGAGCAAGTGAGTGCCATTAATAATTGAGGATATTTCTGGAAAATCAAGGAGGTATGCTCACTCTATTAACTCAAAGAATGATATGATGTGTGGAAATTTTTGGCATTGTTTTGTTTTTCAGTATCATTATGGACTCAGATTTTATTGGATTCAATGAGTTTCAAACTACTGTAATCATTATTTTTTTGATACTCAAATAATTAAATTTCTTTAATGGTGCTTGTGTTTTCTTGACACATTCTAAATTTATATTTTTTCAGTAATCTTAATGTTGAAGCACATACAGAAAATTACAATTTTCCAGCTAAATTTTCAGAATATGAATATACCTATATGATATGATAAGTATCATGTTAAGAAATAGATTATCACTTGATCTTAGCCAAAAGGCCAAGATGTGATAAGAAATAGATTATCACCAACCTCCACCTGCCACCCTGCACGAAGTTTTTCTGTCTTGCCCTCCAGCTATTAAACTCTTAATCCTATAGGTAACCACAATCCTGATTTCAAACACTGCAATTACTTTTGTCTGCATTTGAACTATTATATTTAATTCTTTGTGCCTGGCTTCTTTCATTCAACTTTATGTTGTGATGGTCAAGATTCCTCCATATGTTTGCATATAGTTTAGTTTATTTTCATTGTTGTATAGTATTCAATTGCATCGATGTACCAAAATTTTTAATTCATTTTACCAGCGATGGATGTTTGGGTTGTTTCCAGTTTGGGGGCCATTACAAATAGTGATGCTATGACCAACTTTGTACATAATTTGGGAGACATATGCACTCCTTTCTCTTGAAATTATATCTAGGAGAGGGGTATTCGATACCAGGTATGCATATGTTTAGATATAGTGGATACTGCCAAACAGTTTTACAAAATTCTTGTACAAATTTACACTCTCACAATAGTTAATGGTAGTTCTAGCTGCTTTGCATACTTGCCAACATGTAGTGTTATCTATCTTTTTCATTTTAGCTATTTTCATGTGCACATACTGGTATCAAAACCCCCACATTCATAGTTTTTAGTTTACCTAATAACTGATAAAATTCTAAATAATTGTACATGTTCATTAAGCATTTGGATGGCTTTTTTAGTGAATTCATTTGCCATTTTGTCTATCTTTTTTTCTTATTAATTTGTATACATTCTTTACACATTTTAATATGAGTCCTTTACCAGTAATGTGTATTTTAAATATCTTCTTCTAGATTATAGATTGCATTTTCTTTTCTTTTCTTTTTTTTTTTTTTTAGACAGAGTCTCAAGCTTTCCCCCTGGGTAGAGTGCTGTGGCATCACAGCTCACAGCAACTTCCAACTCCTGGGCTCAAGCGAGTCTACTGCCTCAGCGTCCAAAGTAGCTGGGACCACAGGTGCCCACCACAATGCCTGGCTATTTTTTGGTTGCAGCCATCATTGTTTTGGCAGGCCCAGGCTGGATTTGAACCCACTACCTTAGGTGTATGTGGCTGGCGCCTTAGCCACTTGAGCCACAGGCGCCAGCCTGCATTTTCACTCTATTAAGGGCATTTTCTGATGAAGAGATGTTATTTTTTAACATAGTCTGATTTATCATTTTTTCTTTATGTTTTTTTTAATAAAAAATGATTGTCTACCCCAAATCATGAAGGTGTTCTGTTTTCTTCTAAACTATAAGTTTTTATAATTCTTTGTATTTTATTTTGTGAAAATCTCACTTAAGTGTAACATACATATGGAAATATATATAAATTCTAAGTGTATAATTTGATAATTTTTTATAAACTGAACATAGTATGTAATTGGAATTGAGTTCAAGAAACAATACTGTACCAGAACTCTAGAAGTTATTTTTCATGCAAATCCAAGATGATTTTTTGGGACATCCTCAGTTAACTGAGGTTAAGAAATAACATTGAAAAGATATGAAACCATCCTCATGTTCTTTGACAAAGCAAATAAAAACGTACACTAGGGAAAAGAATCCCTATTCAATTAATGGTGCTGGGAAAATTGGAAAGCTACACGTAGAAAACTGAGACAGGATCAACAGAGCTCACCACTCAAAAAATTAATGTGCTATGAAAAATGGACTTAAACCTAAGATCTGAAACTATAAGAATTCTAGAAGAAAATGTTGGAAAAACTCATATAAATGTTGGCTTAGGCAAAGAATTTATGAAGAAGACC